TACATACCCTTGGGAGACCCTCAATTTTCTTTGTTTTGTGCTCTACTGCAACTTGGTGTCCCAGCACATCAGTGGTTGGCAGCGCCTTGCAGATGGCCGGCAGTGCCTTGTTGTTGGCCGGCACCCCTTTATTTTTCGTTGCCAGTGGCTCCCCATGGCCGGCAGGCCACTGATGCACTCCCCAGCATGTTTTTGGTAAGGTTCAGTAGGAATTCCTTGAGGACACCCTACAGACAAAGCCACTAAACAGAAACCGGAGAGCTTTTCGAGCGGCATCCAAACATGCATCCTCTCATTCTTCAAACAGAGCTGGAGCAGCTTATTTTTCATGCTTACTTGTTAGTTAGCATCAATTTGTAATAATTAATTAATTTGTTAATTAGTTAATTGTGGTAAGAATTAGCTGTAGCTAGTTATTCAATTCGGTTGTGTAATAATTAATTAGTTTGTTAGTTAGTTAATTAGTTGGCATGTATTTTTTATTCGGACCCTCCGTCGAGAGGGCCAATTTTGTAATAAGTGTGCGTGCGTGTGTGCATGTCTTCCAACCTCCATTTCTTTCTCCCTTTTACTTAATCGCTTTCAATGGTTAGTTTTAGGTCATGTTTCAAATTAGCATACTCATGCTTTGCATGTTTGCATCCATTCATGTGTCTAGCATACTTATGCTTCGCATGTTTGCATACATTCATCTATTTTGCATGCACCGGGCTCGGCGCATCATACTAACTCATCGTATTTCAATTCCAAGTTGAATACATGTATCAATTATCGCATCTCATATGCCATCTTAGAATAGCCGAGCCTATTTCTAGTTGCATTTTGCATGTGTTGCATTAGCCATCTTAACATGAACTAGGATCGTGCATGATTTCTTACTAGTTCTTTGTTTTGGCTCGGAGTACTAGGTAAGCTTTTATGCTTTAGCATACTGCATGTGTGTGAGTGTTGCCATGATAGCATGTTTGCCATGAGGCTATTTGCTTAAGTGTTTAACTGCCTGAATGCCTGTGGCTGAAGATTGGATTACTTGAATTGGAACAATTCATTGAAATCCGCATTTTAGCCTACTTATGAGTAGCAAACTTCAAACCATTTTCCAAACAAACGGATATGCGATGCTTTGTTCCAAATTAGGCGATCTAGTCTATACTTGTTTTGCTGTGCGCATCACATAGTAATTCTAGCTAATTAAGCGGAATAAGAGCACATGTGTTTTCAAAAACTAGATATCATGTTTAGTAGTGACCGATCTTTGATCGGGCGAGCGGGGGTGCTCATAGATGACCTTCCCCAATCGTACCCAAGTTCCCGAGCCGAGGCAACTTTGGTGATGACGGACATGTGGCCTTAGGAACGAGTTAAGGTTTCCCAAATTTCTCCAAAAATAAAATATTTAGGTGGCGACTCTGTACCTGGCAAAGCAGTCCATGTTTGGCACTTCTTTAGAAAAATCAAATTTTCAAAACGATTTGCCGGATTTGGACTTTTTAGTGATTTATCGGTCTTGCATTGCACTTTGCGAGAACAGATTCAGAACCGTGACAATTTGAGTCTGAATTGTAGCATGAAGCCTGAGGGCGCATCTACAGTTCCTGGCGACTCCGCTGGGGATTTAGAGAGCTTAACTCGAACTCATGATATCTTGTTTTGACTACACTTATGTGTTTTTTTGCATTGCATTTGCATTGGTGCGCCTAGGACACCGTGTTTGCTGTATGCTATTCTTGAATGATTTGCCGGAGGCTTGCTTTGAGAAAGCGTGCCATAAGGCTGACCGGTTGCGGGCTCTGCCACGACGGGAACACAAACCTCGGTTTTTACCAGGGCACCCTTTGTGACCATTTGACCTACACTACTACAAATATAGATAAAGATCACACTTTTTTGGTGTGATGTATGTTTTTTAATCACACCTTTTAAGTTTTATTAAAGTGTGGTCTTTAGGAGTGTGATTAAAAATGGTCATTTTTAATCACACTTTTTAAGTGTCATTAAAAAATGCTTTCATCACATCTTTTAAGTGTGATTAATAATATTTAGATCACACCTTTTAAGTGTGATTAAAAACATTTAGATCACACCTTTTAAGTGTGGTTAAAAACATTTAGATCACACATTTTAAGTGTGATTAAAAACTTTAGATCACACCTTTTAAGTGTGATTAAAAACATTTAAATCACACCTTTTAAGTGTGATTATTAACTAATAAAACCTGTGATAAAAAAAAAATTGACATATTTAAAGAATAATCAATGTTATTTTTGCACGCGCATTTGAATAATGTAATACACACTATATACTATATTTTGAATCACAACCATATATTGAATGAAATAATATCATATATTTCATAAATGAAAGTTAAATGTTTAAAAGTATATACAAAGAAATTAATAAAAAAAAAAATTAACTGTGATTACATACATTAAAAAATAAAAAATAAAAAACTTGAAAAAAGTTCTTGAATTCTTTGATCATATTTTGCATCTCTCCAAGAAATTTCTGACCTGAAAAATAAAAAAAATAAATTAATTTAAAAACCGCCAGAAGCATATGAATAAACTTACTAATTAATTTATAAACTTACATTTAGATCACACCAAAAATAATGTAATTTATCTAGTTGTTAAACTGCCCCCAATAGGATTGATACCTGGTGGCCTTCTTTTACAAGAAGTCCTGACAAAAACACACCAATAAACTGAGTCCCTTCCATTATCAGGATTTTCATAAGATAATCATTAGATATTGAAATGCTAGAAACAATCCCTTTGCATAACCTGCACAATTAGAGTGATAGTATAAATTTTCGGTTTTGATAAAATCTTCATGAATATACCACCATGAACCAATCTGAGAGAGCATAGAAAACAATCCCAATGAGCATAACTTGAAGCAAATCAAATTGAACTCTCTCCATTAACTGTAACTTCTTTGCTCTCCCTCGTTCCATACTGTCTATAATCCCACAAATATCAAAAAAGTAAACATCTCAATCCTACACATCACATCAACATCAATGGTAGGAAATTATTATTAATTTTTTTTCCCCTTTCCCCTTTTCAAGCTCCATTAGTTGGGTCTTTGACATCAAATTTTGTTTTCCATTTGTTTGTGATCTTCATTTATAATCTATTTCTAAACTCCAAAACCACTAATTGTCATTTAAATAGTTTGTTTTCATGTCGAAGGACACCTAAAATTTGACATTGTTCGTGATTTTTTCGTAACTTTCTGTTATACGTCGAAAATGCAGGAACTGACCTATTTTTCTTGAAACCTGAAAACGAGGTTGCATAACCCTCAAGATACTTTCTATGCTTGGTCTACTTCTCATTTTAAGCTTTGTTATTCTCAATTTGGAACTTTTATGCATGAGAACTCCACAACAATTGTTCCAATTTCAAGATAGCAACAAACCAGTAGAAGGGAGGAGAAAACCAAAGCAGAAAATCAGCAAAACAGAGCAGAAAATCAGAGAATATGAAGGACAAGAGAAGAAAACTAGAACCTGGAAGCAAAAGGAAAAAAATTAGCAGAAAAAATGACCTAACAAAAAAAAATAAAATTCTGAAATAGTGAGCTGGAAAAAGAAGAAATGGGGGGAAATGAAGAGAAGAGAAGAAAAATAATGAGGTTCTGCCCAGATATAAATGTCATTAGGTGTTCAAGGTAACAAGCAGCAATGAAGACAACCATAATCAATATCTATTCCCAGAATTTTGACATAACCAGAATTAATTCAGAAACTCTTACATGTTCCCTTTTTAAAAATTTACAAATTTCAATCAAACCCCATTTAAATTATGGCCCATTCCTACAAGTTTGGGTAATCTAAGCTGGTTCATGTTTTCTATGCTATTTTTTGTCAAACATTACAATACACACCCAACATAAGGACTGAATCAACAGAATATCCAATAGAAAAACAAAACAACAAAACAAAATCAAGTGGGTCTAGAACAAGAAACACAACAGGCCATAAAAACAACAAAACAAATCAAAGTGGGTCTAGAACTAGAACCAGAAACACAACAGCCAATAAAAATAAAATAAAATAATAAAAAAATAAAGAAATTTAGGAGATGTGGTGAATACATATACGTGCATAGACAGGACTATACATTGCTTTGCGAACGGCTAGGGCTCGTTTGCCCTTTCCAATTTAAATAGACACAAGCATCCTCCCAATTTAAACAAACTCATGTAACACACTCTAGAAGTTCCCCAAATGACGCACAGTAGCAAAAGAAACTCTCATAACCATTATAAAAGCATACCGAGGGATAGCAGCATTTTGATTTTAAAGGGAAAAAAAAAATTGTTGAGAAAGGATTAGTATAAAATCAAGGATCCTTAAATTAACTTGTTGCTAGATCAACAGTCCAACACATCAAAAGCCACATGCACCAAAAAGCAATCTAATACATCTCAGAAAAACGTAGTTCATAGTTCCAATTATCTCATCGCATTCAATGACATGAAACAAAATCGTAAAATTAATTTCATTACAGCACTTTAGCACATAACTTGGAACTGTTTCTTAGTCCATCAAGCAAGGCAACATTAGTCACTTGTGATGCACAACACACCTCTCCAACAGATATGCCACCAAAGTCCAAATATACACACAAGCTATAAGAACCCCAAAAATCATTGCAATCAGTTCAATATCATTGTCAAGAGCAAAAAACATATTGGCATGCATAATAAAATAAAATAAAATTACATATATTCATTGTCATTTGGAGTTCAACAATTCCAAATTAGAAAAACTCTACTTCATATCATATTTGAACTTTTGCTTCATTTCAAATAACTTAACTTTTTTTATATCAAATTACAACTCACACCCCAACTTCAATTTTGCTTCACATTTCAAAACTACCACCCACCAGTAATGTGTTTTGTGATTTTTCTTATCCAAAAATATAATTTAAAATAAAAACAGAAACAACGTTTTAGAAAGTACATTCAAACAAGCACAAAGACAGAAATCAGCCACGCAAACATAATCACAATCTCAAATAAAAAAAAAAAAATCCATTTTCAAGTCAACAACAATACAAGATCTAAATCGAATTCAATCAGAAATAAAAAATAATAGTTGAAATTATTACCACTTTGCACAATTTCTTGATCAAAGCCATCGGCTTCCTTTTGAGGCCTCTTTGGAACCTTTTCATTGTATAAAAACAGATCAATCAGAACCACTTCCAGAGTACAACAATACATAAAATACATATATATATATATATATATGTATGTACACATGTATCTATGTGCACAATCACAAACTCAAAATTCTACCTTCTGCGAGCTCGAGCGGTGAAGAGCTTGACGAGCTCATCGGTGGACATGTCAAGGAGAGCATCCAAATCGACACCCCTGAAGCTGAACTTCTTAAACGTCCTCTTCTTTGGCTGTCCTGTAGCCACCTCTGTTTCGATTTCCGCCTAACAAAGAAAGAGAAATACATATAGAAAGATGAGTGTTAACAGATGGATTAAGAGAGAGAAACTGTGTTGCAGATTGGAGGATGGATGTGAACTCACCATGGCTGTAGAGAGAGAATCAACAAACCCTAATTTGAAGAAGTTTGATGCGTCACGGCTAGGGTTTTGAGAAGATGACTGTGTGTGTGTATTTATAGTGTAACGCTGAAATGGAGGAAAAAAATATATAATCACACTTATTTAAAAAATGTGATTAAAATGTATATACACTGAAATGTATATATAATCACACTTTAATTAAAATGTGTGATTAAAAAATATATATAATCACACTTATTTAAAAAGTGTGATTAAAAAGTAGTAGTGTATATATAATCACACTTTAATTAGAAGGTGTGATTAAAATATATATATATAATCACACTTAATTGAAAAGTGACATAAAAAATAAATATTATCACACTCAATCAAATTAAGTGTGATTAAAATATTAATCTAGTTTTTTTTATCACACTTCCAATAAAAGTGAGATCTTTTTTTTTGTCAAAGTGTGATCTTTAACTCTTTTTGTAGTAGTGCTAGTGCATATCGGAATCCGTAGTGACTATTCCAAACTAGGACAGGTTGCTTACCCGATTATAAGTTGTTTGAAACCACTGCGTGTGTAGTAAAACCCTAGCTCCTAAAAAAATAGGACAGGGAAACCCTACCCCAACATAGGGGTGTTTTGGCTCTCATTTGCTTGCTATGTGCTTTTTGAGTTGGCCTCTACAGGAATGCACGTATCAGTTTACAAGTCTGGGTATCAGGCCTGCGGGCATCAGTATCAGTATTTTCAGAATCAATTATGTCCGCGGGTATCAAATTCAGTTTTGGGGCAGTAATTTGGAAAACAGTGATCAGTGGTCGAATACAGTTATTCAGCTATGCTTATGTCTGTTCTGGTGAAATTTGGCTGAGATGCTACCTGTTTTCTCTTTCAAGGTTCAGAGATTCGGTTCAGAATAGCCAGTGTTCTCCTCTGCTGAGGCAAAGCAGGGAAAGACTCACCGATTCATCAGATCCGTCAGTCACTAGTTACACCACCTCTGTCCAGTTCAGTAGACTTATGACGACCCAGAATTCAGAGGAAATTATGGTTATGGCAGCCACACTAAACCAATGAATCATCTTGCAGGGTGAGACCAACGTTGAAGTACCACACCCGCCTAGGTCACCTGCCGCACATCCGATCTAGGAACCCCAGTTATTTCAAACCCGTGAGCCCACCACCTTTGAGCTAATGGGAATGATTGGCGACCTTCAAGGATCTGTGGCTGATCTCACCTACGGAATTTCGACTCCGCCACCAACCACATCGTATGCCGGGAACTTCATGCCGAAGGAGCCCCTGCTACTGGGGCGAATTGTAATCGAGCTCAGCCAATGTGAAGCAGTCTCAAGCTCCGGCAATGACGTGTCGACGACAACGGGACTTCGCACTGAAGTAGCAACCCAAACCTTCCACCAAGATGAGGCTAGTGGAAAGAACAAGGTGAAGGTGGACACTAGCCCCTATGAACAACTCCAGCAGGCTGTTGAGGCTCTAAAAGCCGGAGGGTTGAATAAGCAGCAAGTACTCGCAGTTGTGGCTAAGACTGTGGATGACACTTTCCCTACTCAGACCGAGGGTAGTTCAAACCAGGGGGAAAATCGGGATAGGAACCGTCGTACCAGAACCGTTCCTTCCAATCCTAACCTTGCACCTGGAAAAGATCAGAAAGCCAAGGCAGCACCGCCGATCCTTTTGCTAGTGCATCTAGCAAAAGTCCACAAGCCTCGAAGTATCTACCCCAAGGCCGCAGGGTATTCTATGCCCTCTATATGCCTTTGTCTAAGGCGCTTCAGATCCTTGCTGAAAAGGGGCATCTCAAACCCCTCGAACCTCGGCCTCTCCCTAGTCGTCTTCCAGCTGGTCATGACGCTACCCAGTACTGTGCATACCATCAACAGGCCGGTCACACCACCGACAACTGCTTCTGTCTTCGCCATGAAGTGCAGGATCTGTTTGACAACGAGGTCATCCTCCCACCAAGCTTAGGAAAGTCTGTCATCACTGAGTTCGTGGACTTCAAGGATAATACAAGTATGTGATCAGGGGTTGGGCCACCTGCGGGCGGCGCTCGGTTTACTCCAGATGTGGCGTGTGGCACGCACTGTTTTAAGCATTGTGCAAATGCTAGTTTTTGTGCCTTCTGGCTTGGGTATTGAGTCAGTTTAATTGTGTTGTTTTGAGTCTGTTTCTTTGTTTTGAGTCAATCTTTTTGTTTGCGGTCTGTCTTGTTGTATCGAGTCAGTCTTCTTTTGTTAAAAGTCAGGTGATTTCGGGGGTGTTAACTTAGACATCCCTTCCTCGTTTTGTGTTTGTCTTTTTCACCCTTTGTTTTGAGTCTGTTTCTGCCATGGAGCCAGTTACGCCAGAAGATCTGAATGAAACAGTAATAATTTTCACACTTTTGTGTTTGTTTCTGCCTTGAGCCAGTTGTGCCAAAAGATCTGAATGAAACGACAGTGCTTTTCACTTATTTTTCTGTGCCTCGAAATCATTGCATTGACCTAAGTTTTTCAAAACTTTTTGAACATTGTGATGAAAACAAAGAGGAAGAAATTCCTCGAGATTTGTAAAAATTTGATCAATTGAGAGAAAGAGAGGCATGCTAAGCCCTTAATGAATGAGATCATGTTTGTTAATGTGAGTACTGGGAAGGATCCTGGCTTGATCCAGATTGGTTCTACATTGTCTTCAGCGCGAGCGACTAGTCGCTTTCTTAAAAGATTTCAAAAAATGTTTTGCGCCGTCCTGCGAAGACCTGTGTGGAATCGCTCTTGAGCTTGTGCAGCTTAGGATCGCTCTCAGCCTCGAGACTCGACCCCTTTACTTTCAAACCTTGAACGTTAATTCAGAATGTTCAACGGTCAACTACAGTGTTAGGCCTGTGTGGCCAGATTTGAAGCAACCCTTGGACTAGGGGCAAGAAAAGTCAGATCGAGAAGATTAGATGTCAACAAAAAAAGCTTCCGAAGCTAGATTGGAAGTACCCCTAGGACTAGAGGCAAAAAACGTCAGATGCGCTCGAAGAGCCAAAAGATGGATCATTCTGCAAACCAATGAAGATCGGCAAGAATGCCAAATCCCAGAAGGGAGGAAAGAAGAAAGTATTGCTGAAGGTCAATTGAGTTCCAGTCCACAACACTAGGGGCAAATTCAGACCCCATTGGATGGACTCCTACATCATCAGCGAACAATAGCCACTCTCCTGGATTCGGGTGGCTTCGAGATCCTAAAACCATTTGACATGGACAAAGCTACACTTTTTACCCTTGAGAGGCTCGCTGGGCCGAAAACCCGAATGGGCGACCCAGGCAAAAGTTAGAGCAAGAAAAAGAAGAAAAAGAACAAAAAAGAAAAATGCAAAGAATGAAGAAAAAAATAAAAAGAAATGAAAAGATGAAAAAAAAGAAGAAAAGAAATGAAAAGAATTGAAAAGAAAATAAGAACATAGCTCGCAAGGTTGAAAACCCGGAAGGGCGGCCTTGGCAAAAGTTAGAGCACAAAATGAGAGGTTAATACCCGAGTGTACCTTAACCTAAACTACGTAAGGCTTGAGTCCCATGTTTGGGATATGTAGGCAACTTCATTCTAAAGTCCAGCCACAGACACTTCCAAATTGACCGTGTCAGTATAATGGTTTTGATTATCTATGCCTTCTCTGTATCCGAGAGTTTGGTTGTGATCTTCACTTTGAAGACTAATTACAATGCGCTGTGGTGCCATTCAAACAAGGGGCAACTTTTCGTTGCTGTGCAGTGCCCTTTAGACAAGGGGCAATTTTTCATTATTTTGGATCTGAGGTTGTGCATCTCAAGGGTAGGTTCTGTGCTCGTTAAGCAGTGGCTGTTTGCAAAAACATTTTTTTGAGAATTTTTACTGAGGTTGACTAATTTTCTCAAAAATTATCCCATTTTTCCAAAAGTAGACCAATTTATTGGACCCAAAAAAGGAAAATTTTCAGTGCTCATAATCTGACTTGCATGATTTTGAATCAGAAAATCGAACAAGCATGTTAAACTAACTATCATGTTGGTCAAAATTGTTTTGTAGAAAACCAAAACAAAAAATGGTCAAAATGATGAATTAGGGGCACAGTTGAGTCAGGCTTCTTGTCTTTACCCCATCGTCAACATACTTGCCAGAAAGGGCTCTACCTACTAGAAAGGGCACAGCTAAAGCTGTCTTTAAACGGGCTGAAAACTTCCTCACCCTCCGAGCAGCGAGGTATCAAACCAAGTGTGAAGCACGACCGGGAATGGATCAAGATATTCCACTCCTTAGTTTGGAGAAATCTAATTACATCCAAACTCCCCAGTAGAACATCGTCAACCGATGTCAGCTGCAGATTTGATACACACCCAGTTGTAGCGCAACCCCTCTGTGGAAAAGTTCACTGTTGTGAGCAGAAGAAAGAGAATCAAGCAGAATGCTAGGGGCAAGAGCCTGCAACCTCCTGTTTATCCATCAACCACCCAGGGGAGGGATAAAAATGAGAGATTGAAGAATAGAGAGATGTGCGCTGAGAGAAAAAGTGAGAAAAGAGCTTTTTTAGAAAAACAGAGCCTGAGTGCCGAGCGATGTGAGAATCACAAATGAGAAAGGGTGGGAAACAATACCTGGAGAAACTGGCTCATTGCGTACTGAGAGGTCTCTCGCCTTTGTAGCACGTCTGTGTGTCGTGTCTTTTGTTTTGTTTATCTTGATTCTTTCTTTGAGTCGTTCCGAGTGCGTCTCGATGTGTTTAGGTTGTTTACCTTTTTTGTTTTCCGTCGTTGAGTCTTTTTCGCTGTGTTCAATCGTAGGCTCAATACCCAGTTAAAAACTAATTTCAAAATGATTTGTTTTGCGCTTAGAGTGCTGTGCCATTCTCCACATTTGTGCAAAACAGAATTTGTCCTTTCATAAAACTACAGTGTTTGACCCAGTTCATGTGAGAACAGTAAAACCAGGACCTATTTGAAGCTATTTAGGTTCCAGGCTGCAAAGTAAAAGAAAAGAAGAAAAATTTGGAGCATCTGAGTGTGTTTCACCTTCAGCAAATTCCGAGACTGCATTC